TTTAAATTAAAATTGCGGTATCATCCTTCTGCATATTGTACAAGTGCATCAAGTTGTCTATTCACAATTGGCATTAACAGAGTGTACACAAAAGGAGAATCAAACAGAGAGTGGAAGGTATCATCCATCAATCTTAGACAAACCAATTTCAATCCAGAACGATATCACTTGAGTTTGTTGTAAAGAGCTCTGAAATCTTCCATCAACCATGCTACGTACTAAGTTATCTTTCTTAGGTAGCAAGAGATGGTTCTTTAATCATTTTAAGACCATCCCAATTCCCAGATTAGTTTTGGCTGAAGATGCGAGGCCAGGCCAATATCAGGCAATTGTCATCACTGCAAGCTTGGCTTGAAATCTTGCTAGAAGATAAATGATTAACCCTGCCCGGATTTGAAACAGCACTCTGAAAGTGTGTCGCCCTCTTCTTTCTTATCACAATTTACATATACTAGCTATTTCTTTTTCCTTTTAGTTGTTAATTTAGAGAGCAAGGGAGACAAACAATAAAAGCTACAAAAAAACATTTACAGACATTCGTGACAATCCCTCAAGTCCTGTATTAAGACGAGTAGAATCTCTAGCCATGACAGCTCTCCAGCTACCATTCTTTGAGTTGTAGTTGCAATGAACACGAAGGCCTAAAATCTTTTTCGAACAAACTACTAACAAAGGCATTCAAAAAAAGAAATATTGAAAGATGCAGAGAAGCTTTAAGGGGGAAATATCCATACCAGATTGCTGCCATTGCACAGTTTGGCACTTTTTTTTTTCCGGATACGATAGACCTCCACTTACTCTATACTAGGGGGCAAGGGGACGTGAAGAGGCCCAAAAAGAACTTAGAGGGAACTGAATTACTACCGACCCAAACGGATGCCTATGCACCCGCTGACAACATTTCCAGGATGCTTATATAAATTCTTGTAGAAAATCCTTAAAGGGTCTCTCTGAACATCAAAAGACGATAATGGTCAGTGTTACAAAGTACCCAAGACAGACACACATGGATTTTAAAAAAAAAATTATGGAAGTATCTCTTCAGGAGGTCTCTCTTCTGAGTTCCGACCAGGCAAATCATACACTTTCTTTTCCCTTTTCTTAGCTGTTGGCTCAGTTTCTTTAGCCTCCCTTCTTCTTTTTCTCCTCCTCCTCCTCACTCTTCCTCTTTCTCTGCACCTTTAAACAAAATAAAACCATATGTTTTTGGGGGGTGGATAGAGACAGAAAAGAACACCATAATGTGTACCAAAAAAGAACCTTATCAGAGGACTCGTTTGAGCTTTTCTTTGGAGGGCTCTGCTCAAAATTTATCTGCTTCTTCTTTCTTTCACTCTTTTAGTTTCTTCTTTTCTGGCTTTGACATTTTTTTTTGGGTGGCATTTTTGGGCTTTTACCTACTTAAAGGAATCTAAAGTTTCTTCATCTTAGCCTTTAACCCTCTCCTCCTCCATTGTTTTTGCATCACGTCCACTGGATGAATGATATTAGGAGAGCAACATTAATAGGATTCAAGTTCAGTTTCGTTTTCTATCCCGTCTGACTTAATTTTGTTGGTATTTGCTTCTATATTGTGAGTATACCCCTTTTAAGTAAAAGGTTCGGTGAAACGAATAAACATGAAAAGAAAAAGGAAATTTAAGGGAATGTCGGAAATTTCTCAAAAAATTGGCACATTTAGAAGAGAAAGAAAAGAAAAGAGAAATAGCCTCATAGAGCCATGCTCGGTCTCAAAGTCCTCAACCAAGCGAAAGCAAATACAAGCTCTTTATGGCATTGTCAGTGTTTCAATCCTCATGAACTCGTGCTAGCAACCTCTTGATTCATGAACACATATCCGACTCTTTCCTCCCATCATTTTTTTCTTCCTCGTTGAATTTTATCAGTGGGTCAAGAAAATTCCAGGGAACAAATATGAGCTCTTCTGAAGAGCCATTAAATTTTATTAGCAGGTCAAGAAAATTCCAAAGAACAAATATGAGCTCCTGTGAAGAACCATTAATCAAGGACAAGGAGGTTGAGGAGGAAGAATCATTATTAAGCAACGACGATGATGATGATGATGATGATATGTTCTTCAGAGAATTGAAGAGAGTTACCATAAATCATGGCGACTTCTCCAACGAAGAGAAAACAGTTGCAGATATTTTACTGCAACTTCCTGGACTTATAAGAACTTGTCCTAGAGTTTCACTGAACCAGTCATGGCTTTTCAAAAAGACAAGATCAGGGATTAATATTTTGTCCCCTCCACCACCCAGTCCACAGGATCATGATACCATCAGTGAGGTTAATTTAATTCTGTGCCCTCTTAATTTGTCTATACTGCTGTTATTCATGAGGATGCAACATCAGTCAGAAGAGGCTTTTGCTATTTATGGTTTGGTGTCACAATAATTTCCAACATCTCTGGAAAAATGGTCATTATGATCGTTACAAAGGAATGATTATAGGGGGAAAAAATTACAAGAATGCAGGGAAAGGTTATGACGACGCTAGTGCATAAAGGGAAACTACGGTTGTGATATTAATAAAATTTCTGATTAACTTGAATTCTCTATATCAGTAACGGTCGAATTTCAGAATTGCTGAAAATCGAAGGCCTTTACATTTAATTAAAGATTTCGTCTCTTATCTGCTTCTCTACCAATGACTTGGTAAAACTTTATTAATTAATCTACATATCCCAACTGTTGTTATCGAAAAATTTTCAATTATGAAGACAAACTCCAAATCTTCATCTATAAATACCTAAGCAATTAACTCTGTGTTACCATCTTACTAACAAGTGATCATATACTTCTCGACAAGTCCTGTTGATCATTTGGGCTATTTTCATAGCAATCTTGATGCTCTATGCTGCTGTTCTTGATGGCTTTGCTTGTGTTTCTTGTTTCTAGTTTTATTTAAGGTATATGTTGGGCTTTCTTGATTTTCTTTTTTTTTTTTGTATGCAGTCCAAATATCACATTAGTACATCTTTGTTGTTTTGCTTGGAGGTTGTTGCGATTGTATTTTCTGAAAAGTTTTTGGAAAAAAATTATTGTACTAATATGATATGATTTATGTCAAATATAAATATGCTGTCAGTGTATATAAAATTTATTCATCCAAATACGGCCTTGTATTCTTGCATTAATATTTTATAGGTTTTCCGGTTGACGCAGGAGTTACGTCACTTGATGGAACAGAACAATATATTAAATTTGGTATGTTCTTTATTCTACTGTGTAGTTTTCCAAACAGTTTGAGTTTCTCTGAATTGAACTAAAAAAAATTGACCTACTTTTACCATTTAGGAGTTAAAGAAGGTTTCAATTTACCATGAAAAGCAAAGGGTTTTCAATTTGCTGTTGAAAGAGACCAATGAAATGAGTTTGCAGGTAGCAATTCCCTTAAAAACCGTTTTCGTTACATTTCTCCTTAATAAGAGATGTGAATTTTTAGTCATAGACAAATTGGAATCTTGTAACAGGGCAAGAATCCAAAAGCAAGTTACAATACATTGTCAAATAAAGTGGAAGTTGTTGATCTTAGTCCATTACTATTTCAATTGGGTGATGAACAACATCATCAACCAAAACAGAAGCTCATCGCCAGAATCAAGAACAGAGAGTTGCAGGAGGTGAAGAAGGATCAACAAGTTTAAAAACTTGAACAGAATGATCATGTTCTGCAATTTGACTATCAAACATCATCAGCCAATGGAGCAGAAGCTCCTCCTGATCAAAGGGCTGCAATGTGGTGGGGTTGTTGAACCATCATCACCAAGACTAGAAGCTGATGGTCTAAATCAAGAGCTGCTGCTATGTACAGATGTATGGATGAAGTATTAGAAATCCCAGAAACTGATTAAGATAAGGGCTGCCAATGGGACTGAGTATACTAGTTTAGAGATGCAAGCTTTGTAGTTGCAGAACATCTGGAGTTTCTCTCTGTGCTATATTTTTTTTTTCTCTTTGCTATTTGTTTGCCTTGTATGCAGTACAGGAATGGATGTTTGAAGGCAGAATACATCTAAAAATTCTAACTATTTACCTGGTTGCCTGCTTTGATTAACTTTTAAGTCAAGGGAACCACAAGAAAAACGAGAATAATTTATTCTGTTTTCATCAAGAAAGAAATGGAATCTGAATGACAAGTCTTAAAAATTAATATTTTTGCGACTGGATTACCAGAAAAGAACCAAGAATTATTTGATGAATGAAAAGAAAAAGAAAAAGAAAAATAATATGTTGGTTAAGATTTGTGAGTCACCACTTTTTGACAATAGATTTTATGTTAATTTCATGGCTGTTTTGAAGTGCAACATTGAAAAACAAGAAGGTAGGAAGCTTAAAAGGGTGTTAGGGGTCAGTATTTTGTATAGACCAACACAAGCAGTAAGTTGACTGGCAGTGTAGTCAAAATATATGATTCCAAAATTGAAGCCTTGGACTTGTGGCAAAGACAAGTGTGCTTGGATAGTATATTGTTTAAAATATTTACTGTCGTGATTTTTATAATGTAATATATTTGAAATAAAAAAAATCATTGGAAATATAAAAAAAACTTAGAAAATGTGTTAATAATACAAATAAAATATTATGGGATAAATTCAGAAACCTCCCCTAAGGTTTCACGAAATATGACCTAGCTTTTCTGAGGTTTTTAAAATATCGTTTGGCACTCTTGAAGTGATTGTGAGATCATGTGTCAATAATATTAAAGGTGAAGGATTGTCAATAATACCCTCATATTTAAATTTTCTAAACTTGTTTTTCTTTATCTAAATTTTTTGCTTTGCTTTAACTATGTATATACATACATACATACATACATACAAATGTCAATGAAAATATAGAATTTAATCAATGAAATATTCAACGCATTTAGAGAAGAATAGTTGCAAGTTCTTTTTTTCCCTTTTTGTGTTTCACAACTATATTTATCTATTTATTTATTTATTTGTTCCTATTCATGTAAAGCATGAGAAAAATGAAGTAATTGAAGCTCTGAACTTTGCGGATTTTTCAAATTCTGAAATTTCTTTTTATAACAAAAATTTCATCTTTCACACCCATAAAAAAGTTGATTTATTTTGAGTAAATTCTCTGTGTGATATTAACGTTGGATTTCATCTAATGTACAAGCTTTACATGCTAATTGCCTTCAACACTACGAAAGATTTTATTTGTAAAAATGGTTTAAAGAATAGTATTTACTTTTGCTGTCTCTCTGTATTATAGAAGTAATTATTCTCTGTAACATAAATCCTTATCAACTTTCGTCCCCTCAAGCATGGTGAGCACAATTAGTCCAATCCAAGTTAGCAGCTCGACTGTAATCATACCATACGCAACTGTTTCACCTCACTTAATGTTTCCCTTCTCCGTGAGTGTACCCACCCGTGATCTGCTTATCGCAGTGGACCCTTATGATGAACTTGTCCCGTCATGTTTTCTCCATCTGCTCTTTCAGGAAATTTTACCATTGCAGGCTTCTTTGTATCATTTCCTCGCATTCCTTCTGGCATTAGGCCGGAAGATAAGGAGCCACCAGAGGCAGCTTGCACATTGGGATTTGGCCCTGCTTCCATTATTTTCTGACCGACTGTTTTTGCTAGGCTTTGCCGGCCAATGGGCATACTCGACAGCACAAGTGTTGAAGAGCAACTGTAAACAGCTGAAAAATGAGCCAGGACCTACCTATCCTGGCCCTGGAATGGGATAGCCTTTCTGAACTTTGTCAACTTTTTTCTTTCCAAAGGGAAAAAAAAACATACAAGAGAAATAAAAAAACAAGAAAGGAGGGAAAGTGAGAGAACAAGAAACTAAATCAAAAGAAAAATTAAGGCTAAGGTAAATGAATCTTTGTAATGATTATTTGGAAAAAGCAAACATATCCCTCAGAATGCCTAATATCCACCTGGGAAGAAGCTATGGTTCCTCAACCTAAGCAATCAGGATTGCCAGAAGGGAGCACCAATTTATAGTCACAGCTTTCAGATTACTAAATGTTTCATCAGTGGGATATCAAAAGTTTGATATAATTAGTCAAGAATGAACCTCCCACAAATCTTGAAACTTCAAATAAATGAGAAGAATTTAAATTTAAAAAAAAAGAACCAGAAAATTTCATTTAAAACCACAAACAGGAACCCCAACAACTATAAAAATCAAGAACAACAGATATAAAAGAATGAATGAATCAGAAAAGTGGATCAAAAGCAGATTTGTAAATGCAAAGATTAAGAAGAAGAGAGGGAGTACCAGCTCAAGTTTGCTGCACTAGAAGAAGAATGAAACTGAAGTTCCTAGGGCATTGTTTGGAGCAGACGAAGCTGTGATTGTGGGGAAATATGATATTTGTTCTCTTTCTTGTGGGCCTAACAAAACGGATCTGTGGATTTCACTATAGATAGGCTCGAGACTTACTTTGGTTTTGGGATTGCCTTTTGGGTTTTCATGTGTGGGTCACAATTCTTTCTGAATGTGTTTCTTCTTAGGAAAAATCACCAATTTAGTCCCTAACCTTTTTTTATTAGTGTCAATTTGATCCCTATCTTGTAATTTTGTCCAATTTAGTATCTAAACTTATTTTTCACTTCCAGTTAAGGAGCGCTGTGGCGGTGCCATCAAGAAAATCAAACCTGACCCTTAATTGACCGACAAAAGAGGGTATTTTTGGAACATCACTAACGGATCGATAATTAAATGTGTAATTCGATAAATTACACACCAAATTAATTGAAAGAGAAAGGCAACGGTGAAATTGGGCTAGGGTTCAAAAGTTCATTTTAATCTGCCAAAGAAACTAGTGTTCATATCTGCCAATTCTTGGAACTGGTGTTCAAAATCACAGCAAGCAAAATGCATTGGAGGAGAAATTGGACCAAAGAAACATCAAACTCAAGTAGTGATCAAGGTACGAAGAATGGGAGCTCAAATTTATCAGAATCAAGGAAACAGCTATATAAAGGGAATGATGAATACCACAATAGAGACAAAATTGTGTGTTGCAATTGCCATGAGCAATGTTGAATCGTAACTTCATAGATAGAGTCAAACCCTTCAAGAAGGCTTCATGGCTGCAAAAATTATAGGGTAAATATTTTTCTAAATTTTTGTAAATGTTTTGTCTAAATGTATGGTCTGAATTAGCACTTGTGAATGCCAAAATGTGGCTCTTGTAAGTTTTTTTTATGGTATGATCCATTCTTGCCACAGAAGACAAAGAATGTGATGGCTTCACTGTTAAGGGAACTTAGAAGTATTGAACGTGAAAATGTAGCATTGAAGATGGAGATAAGCAAATTGAATGCAAAAATGAAAATGGCTTGTTGGCATGTGTCTGCTTCTGCATTATAATTGTAGTTGTTCTGGGTGCAATGGAAGATGAAAACAGGGGGTACTGGAATTAAAAATGTTGAACTAGAGCTGAAGAATGGCGGACTAATGCTTGTAATAGAATTTCTTGTTGTATATCAGTTATTTATGTGTGCAGGATAAAGGTTTTGAGTTGTAATTTTGATCAATTTGAATATAAAATGAACTAGTTTGTTGGAGTTTTTTGGTATGATATCTATGGTGTTGATTGTTTGTGGAAATGGCAGAAATGCATACATACTAATAGCTTCCGTAATTTGAGCAGTCAAAAAATTTTTTAGAGAACTTTTGCTTCATGTATGATATTTCTAAAGTCAAACAAGATAGCTGATGTTATTACAACACTTACACTTGACAAAAAAAAGGGCCAAAAATAGGCCCAATTTACAATAATCCAAAAGCTACCTAATGGTCCTGATCTAAAATTCAATGAACAGCAACTGCTTCAACCAAAAAATATGCGAATCTACAATTCTTCAAAAACATGGCAAAACAGGGGATGCATTGCAATTGTTTCAACCAAAAAATATACAGATCTGAAAATCTTCAAAAGCACAACAAAATAGACTTGAACTGCAACTGCTTCGTCCAAAATATTGAACATAGAGATAAGCTGCTAGTACTTCAAGTTTGAACAAGCTACTGCTACTGAAAAAACAGGCTTGAACTGCTATTGTTTCAACCAAAAAATATGCTAATCTGCATTTCTCAAAAACACAACAAAACAGGCTTGCACATATGCTTTGCTAGTGTCCCAACAGGCTCTACTTCTAGGTTTCAAGTGGATCTTGAGCGGCACCATCTAGCTCATCCAGAAGCCTATGAGCCTGCAAAAATAATTTTCAACAGTCATTTCCCAACAGCCCTTAGAATTAGTTCAAAATAATTTATCACTCCAACAGCTCCTAAACTTACTGTTTGTTTTCTTCTTTTCACACCAGCCATCCTATTTCTCCAAGCTTGTGCTCTCCAATAGGGGCAAGATTTTTTGGTGTGTCTTGGAACATGACAAAACCAACAGCAAGCAATCCTACCCACTTTCTGAGAGCTTGCTTTTGGAGCAGTAGCTTGCACTTCAATTTCCTCAGCCATTCCAGTAATATGGTCATGTACATCTTTTCCAACAGTCATACCAAGTAGCGCGTACAAGGATAACTAGTCAAGATGTGAAATAGTAGAAAAAAATAAGATATAAATATGAACAAACTTCATACATGAATTTGAAGCTTCCATTGTCTCATTTTGTAAGGGCCTATTGGTGTCTCTAAACTCACTATCAGCTGCAATTAAAAAAAGGTTAGTTGTCCTCAAGAGCAATGTAAGGACAATTAATGAACAACAGTCATACCAATAGCTTTATTAGCATTGTCCTGAGCGTTTTGGCCTGCTAATGGACAAGTTCTGACATTATGATCAAGAATCTTGCATGTTTTGCACCTATTGGTGTTGAAAGCTGGTCCCCTTCCCTTGCATTTTGCATTTTCTACTCCAATGATCTTAGGGCATTTTCTCTTGGTGTGTCTCTTTTGCTTGCAGTTAGTGCAAGTCATTTGCATAATTTCCTTCCTAAACAATCATATACATCCCTTTGAATCAATCCTTGGCTCATCTGGCTCTCTCCTTCGTGTTTTCTTAAGCCTACCAGGAAGTTTGACCTTCTTTGGTGCACTCAAGGGGGTTTTGTTAAATTTCTTCCAATTGTTAGGTCCATTGATTGGACCAATAGTTGGCTCATAAACCATCAGATATGTAGCTCTTGTGTAACATGGATGCATAAATTTTTCTGGCTCATTTTTAGTCAAAGGAATGCAACATAAAGCATGTGACCATGGTATGCCAGTAACTTCCCATCTCCTACAAGTGCATGCCTGCCGTTTTAAATCTACAATAGAGGTACCTCTATACATGTGTATAACCTCAAATTTATCAACATCAGACCATCTTGCAATATTTGCTCTTGCATCATCTTTTGTTTTTTCAAGTTTTTTTACAATTGTTGGATAGATTTCATCATTCTTTTTCCTCATTCATTTTCTCTTTGTCCTTAATCTTTCCATAAGGTATATCCTAATGTTCTCAAGCATACCAATAATGGATTTTTCTCTAGCATCCAATATGATAGAATTGAAACTTTCACACAAGTTATTAAGGAGAATGTCACATTTCGACGAGGATCTAAAATGTGATCTTGACCAGTGGTGTAAGGTTGTATTGTTAAGCAATCATTTGTGAGCTTGTTCATCATACTTTCTCAATGCATCCATTTCACTCTCAAATTTATTCATAGATGTAGATCTGGCACAAGCCCAAAACATGCCCTTTAATGTCTCACCTGGATGCAGATTCTTGAAGTTATTGTGTAGGTGCCTAACAGAGTGCTTGTGCTCCTCACCTGGCAGAATTTCTTGGATTGCTAAACCCAATCCCTGTCACTTAACATAAATAAAATTATTGAAACACATGTGATTTCTAATGAAGATTGAAGAAAGACATATGATGTACCTTTTACTGGTCATTGATAAATGTCTAGTTTTTTTGTTCATGGATGCTAAGATCGTATTTCAAAAAGTTAATAACCACTTCCAAGAGCTCTTGTTCTCCACCTCAACAACTGCATAGGCAATAGGATAAATGTAGTTATTTGCATCTATCGCTACAGCTATCAAAAGTACTCCAGAATATGGTCCTTTTAGATGGCAACTATCAACATCAAGTACTAATCTACACCTAGCCTTTAAACCTTTTTTCAAGGCTGCAAAGCAAATATAAAGTCTTTGGAATCTTTCCTTCCCACTTATCTCGTCAACCTCTACCTCTATATAAACTGTAGAATCTGGATTTGATCTAATAATTCATCACAATAGTCCTACAATCTTGTATATTGCCGCTTGTCGTTGCCTTGAATCAAAATCTTGGCTTTCCTGAATGTCTTGTATGCTTACTCCTTTGTAATACGCACATTCAACTCTTGATGAATCTTTTCCTTAAATACAGACCATATAACCTTTCTATTCAATCTCAAAAACTCCATATAATATCTAGCTAAGAATCCTGAGTTGGCATGCTTGTGATAAAAAGTTCGACCACATGCATGTTCTGGCCCCATGGTCCTGATTACAAAAGCCTCACAATCCAGCTCCTTAGCTGTATAAGTGAACCATGCACACTTTTTATTCTTGCAACTTGTCCTAATTCTATTCTTGTCATTCTTGGCCCATTTATGCTCCTTGCCTCACTTAACAGAATAATGTTTCACTGTTATCTTGAATAGTTTCTTGTTATCAAAAAGTAGACCCACAAAAAACTTTGGATCCTTCATGTCCCTTTGTGGTCTAAATCTTACATACTGTGGTTTCTTTACTAAAGTATCTTCATCCGAGGAATAATAGTTGCCATTGAACTCCTTTGTGTTCACGAAATCTGACTCTTCATTGATAGGTATTTGTTCTCCAGCATAAATGCTGAAATCAACATAAGCACTATCTTGAATAGCAGCTTTTCACTTGCCCCTTTGCCTTTAATACCAACTGCATTCTTACCCTTCACATCAGCTGCATTTTTGCCCTTCATATCAGCTGTCATTTTACACTTCTCATCAGCTGCACTTTTACTTGCTCCTTCACCTTCACCAGTAGCTTGTAGATTGCTAATTTGCTGCTCCAGTGCCCTATCAACAGTAGGAATACAATTCTTGTAAATTGCATCATCATCATCCTTACTAAAGTCATAGTCGCTATCATGAAAACTTTCACAATCCTCAATTGTGTTTGACCGTGCACCATTCTTACCCTCCTCTTCCTCCATTTTCTTCCTTCAAACGCAGCAGCTTTTCACTTATTATTTTCCATTTCTCTTATATCTTCTTTTACAATTGCGTGAACTAGCACTTCTACAATCCCACTTAAGAAGTCATCGAATATGATATCCACATACAACAAATCATCATTTTCTTTTACAGATTCATTTTCAACCCCAAAGCACTGTTCACTACCATCAACAAATCTAATATGGAAGTCATGAACCACGTATACTTTTGCATACCCATTTTACTTCCCTACACAAGCCATAGCTATGACATCATCCTCAACGTCTATTTGACTAAGTCTTAATTTGCCATCTCAAATTGGAATTCTGTACATGTATTTTGCATGTTTATGTCACTCAAGAAATTCACAGAATAACATCACAGCAGCGATATTCACTCTCATGGCTAGAACCTCCTCAAAAATCTCCATACTGCCCCCCAAATATTTTTCTTCTGGTTCTTTGACATATGCCCCCACCATAGTAAATATGTAGATTGAATGCATCCAAGTCCTCGTCTGTTTATTTTTTCATAAAATAACATCAGTCACTATTTAATTTATGCAACACATGAAATCTGAATTATCATTGTCTACCTTTTCAGAAACATGAACGCAACAACCCTAACTTATTTTAGATCCAGGGATCACATGAACCCCTTATAAAAACAAACAACCAGAATAGTGGTCCAATGGTCCTTGCCCCCACAAAAAAATTTGACTTCATCCTATTGCTTCATTATAATACATCCACTTAGAGGTAAGACATTTTCACAAACTCTCTACTAACCTAATTAAGTTTAAACTATTGATTCATACAAAAAATTTTCATATTTAAGTGATTTCACTTACCACACCTGCTAGATGCCCCTTCTTTAACATTGTCTTGCTTGTGCATTTTCCAGCCTATTTCTTCCATCATTTGAGTCTCAACACCATGTACTGCTTTATTCTTTATCTCACTACAATCATTTGCCCAAAATCTTTTGTGTTTAAAAAACCTTTTGCTTTTTTCTTCTGCAAGTTTGATTTTTTTTACCTTATTTTGTCTGAAGGATTTTGGTGTGTAATTTATCGGATTACACATTTAATTACCGACCTGTCAATGATGTTCCAAAAATACCCCTCTTTTGTCGGTCAATTAGGGGTCAGGTTCAATTTTTTTGGTGGCACCGCTACAGCACTCCTTAATTGAAAATGAAAAATAAGTTTAGATACTAAATTGGATAAAATCAAAAGATAGAGACCAAATTGATACTAATAAAAAAGGTTAGGGACTAATTTAGCAATTTTTCCTTCTTATTAGACTCAAAATGTCCGTCATATTTCGTTAAATAAATTTTTTGATTCTTCACTTTTGAAATATTAACTTTACGTCTGTTACAAATTCAAATCGATAAAATTTAGTCCCAACATAGATTTTTGACCACCTTTTAGTCCGAAATCACTATGTGTTTCACATGTGATCATTTTTTAAGTACAAAATATCAGATCCCACACATTTAGAAACAAAAATGAATACAGATTGGCTCAAATCTTACTTTCTTATGATAAAAATAAATATAGTTTGAATCAAGTCCCACTTAAAGTGAAAAAACGAACATGGATTCTGTCATTTATTTAACTATAAATGATACCTCATCTTTTTGCCTCTGAAAAATAAGTATGTTTGATTCACATAATGAATTCTAGATAAAAAGTGATCGAAAACCTAAGTTGAGACTAAATTTACTAATTTGAATTTATAAGGGGCATAAAATTAATATTTTAAAAGTAAATGACGAAAAAATTCATTTAATAAAATATAAGAGATGTTTGAATGATTTTCCTTTTCTTACTTTAAAAATAAACGTGCCTTGCAATAAGAAAATGGATTAAAACCAAAAAAGTCATATGTGGCTAAGCGAATATACAGGAAAGCTCTCCGTGGTTTCAAAACATACAATTCGAAACTCTTGACTTTAACTAAATTGAAAACTTGACTGAAATCGTCAAAACTAACATGGGTAGACGAAATGACAAAAATACCCTAATATATGTAAGGGTAAAATGCAGAAAACCCTCATATGATTTCAAAAAATATAATATTCATCTCTTTCATACATAAAACAGTTGTTCTGATTTGATTAATATTTGTACATGGGATAATACCATAATCACGAACCCCCCCCCCCCCAAACAATCATCCATTGTACATGTAAAGTGCAACATCCCTTTTGATGGCTTTTTCAATTTTAATAATTTTTACTTTTTCTTTTTGCAAACACTCACAAATCTTGTACTGGTATCGTAGAATCTAGTGCTGCTGCCCACCCGAGAGCTTGAAAAGATATAAGTAATTATTTTGCAAAATTTTCCTTCACTTTGTACAAAGAAAAAATATTGAAATTCTTAAAAAAAAAAAAAAAAGACCTTCTTAAATAATATTATAATAGCAAAAATTCAAATTTAAAACTTTTACCATACGCAAAAGTAGTGTGCATACGACTGACGGTCGATTTCTCTCAGGAAGCTTCTCTCTCTTTTCAATATATTTTCTGAAATTTTTGAATTAAATCCAACTTATATGTTTCAAAACCATAGAAGACTTTTCTGTATGATGAGTTAACCAATAGGGCTTTTTGGTGAAGGGTAGAATAGGTATATTAAATGAAAATTAATTATAAAAAACTGTTTTCCGGTACTACTAGTTGCAAAACAAACGCATGTGCTTCAAACATGTTAATTTTGATAATTTCCATTGTCTTTTCAATTTCATTTAAACCATGAAGTGTCAAATTGCATATTTTTAAATCACGGAGAGCTTTTCTACATCTTTGCTTAACCACAAGTGAGTTTTTTTGGGTTTTACCCTAAGAAAATTACTGTTAAAAGAACCAGGCAATGGGCATTCATTGGTAGCTAGTGATTAATAACGATGCTATCCTTCAGAATCCAGTCTTACAAGGACAGTTCAAGAAAACATACTGAACAAAGCTGTGACAAATCCAGCAGCCTGCAGGTGTTACAAGTGTAAGGATTGCATGCTCAGAACTCCACAAAGACAATAAACCGAAAGCTGATGTGTAACAACAAATCCCAAATTCCATAAGCAAGAATCTGAGTGCGTGAGTTTACCCAAAAGTCAGCAATTGCCTTTTGGGTAAACTGGTAAAATTACCTTAGATTCTGTGTGCGTGTGTTTCTTTGCGCTGTTGAAAGAATAAGCAAGAATCTAAGTCAAAGCATTGGTACAAACAACCAAGACTCACACAACTGAGCATTCATGACAGAATTCAATGTTTAAGATGCCAAATCCAAGATTACTCCTACCGTTGATGTTGTTAAATTTACATGGATGGAAGAGGGAAAAGAAGGGAGAAAACGGAAACTGATGGAGAACTGAAAGCTATAGCACGCTCCCCATCTGTTCTTTGTTCCTCCAATCATCCCCTCCGTACAGACAAGTAACCAAGCCAAGAATGAATTGCCTGAGCATTTTCATGCTGCAGAGATTGATCCCTTCAGTGGGTAAGATGGGTCAGCACCTCCACTGTCAACCATCATGGATGAGATGTCTTCATGACCACCTCAACAGACATGACAGCGCCGGAGACACTTCCATACCCTGAAGGAGAAGCTTCTTAATTGCTAGAAGCAGCCCCACGTGGGGCTTGGTTCACCAGCAAGCTCCAACTCTCCTGATTGAAATGCTGTCTTCCTCGCTCACTGCCACTGGATTGTTGATAATAAAATGATGAAATACCACGGCCATTGCCATTTGAAAGCATCTGCTCTTTCTCTCGCAACTGATCAGAATATCCATTACAGTCAGTTGATAGATGCTCAGAACCTGATGAGTTGCCAGATTGTGTTGGCACAGCATCCCCACACTTTGTCTGCTCCTTTGATGCAGATTTGGACGATCTTGATTCATTGTTTTCGAGCTTTTTGGTATTAAGGAAACGACCACCAGAACCCCTGGCTCTTCTCATAGCATGTTGATGCCGAGATTCGTGAAGATATGGCTGAAACAATAAAAAGAGAGCAACACTTTCAAGAGATAGCAAGAATAAACTCTGGAGCCAACTCATGAACAGTAGTATCTGATATTTGGCAGTCAAAAATGGACTTTGCATTTCATATCACACATATTGGTGTTGCACTTTTTATTACACCTCGTATTCAAATGAAACTTATCCACTCATCTAATATTTTATTGATTGTTGGTGAATCATGATCCCTCACTGATATTAAAAGCAAGGAGACGTGTGTCAACTTTATAATAGGTGTAATAGGGAGTGTAACAGCAATTCTATAACAGGAAATCCAAAGCCGAAAATTTGGAAGAGTGCTAAATGCAAAAGCCCACATAAACAAAAAGGAGGCAAGGAGAAAATGAAAATCATAATGCAAATAGACAGAAGAATAATATGTAAAATTTTATTACAGACAATACATACTACTTTTTCTTGCAGAAATATTTTAAATGTTTGTAGTCCAGAATGTTGAAAAAACCTAAGTACTCATGTAATAAATGTATTGAAAACTGAAAACCTTAATGCACTTCTGCTGCAGCTAAACAAGCACCAATTGGGAAAACAAGATCAAGAGAACAAACCACAGGCATGTACAAGACCAATATCAAATTTCATTCTTTTGTTCATATCATGAAATGAGTTTCCAAACCAAGAGTGAATTCGTTATATCATCTACACTCAAAGCAACATAGCCAATTTCTTTGAAAAAAAAATCAAACAAAAATTTCAGATTAAATAACAAATCTTGAAACCCCAAATAGAACTTCTAAGTACACAATTATTTATATCAGTCAATACAATTATTCCATATCAGCCTTTCTACAAGGATGGCTTAAAACATTTCATTTCATCAAACGTCGAGATGATCTTGCTTCAGAACAGAGATGAATATGTCTGCCACTGAAAGCTGCTGCTGCTCATCCACAACAGGATAGTGCAAAGGCAATTGTGTACCTAAAAAAGGAAGCTCCAAAATTCGAATACAAAGAACCCCCAAAAGAATACCCACATTCAGGCATGAGAGGAAACCTAGTTTAATCACTTAAAGTTCCCTCAATTTCCAATACTGCAGCTGCTGAAAAAGTAGCAATTAAGGTCTACCAGAAATTTAGTTCCTGGATTAGTGCTTCCCAACTTGACAAAAAGGTTACTGGGATTATAGTATCACTCAAACTTGCAGACGAATTGTCAGAACATGGGCATACATTATGGTTATTGGACTTTCCAGGTTTCTATTTTGAAGTTTCTGTCCTTGTCTCCCTTTCTTTCCTTATCCTATTGAAAGCCTAATACTTTCACAATTGCATACCAAAATATGTTCCCTCTGTTACTTGGCTTGCACTCCGTAGGTCCCTGCTTTTAGCTTCTTGAAAGGAGGAAAAAGAAGTAGGTAAGCGAATTAAGGTCAGGCATAACAACCCAAAGTCCAACCTGGTTTAAGCAATTTTATTACAGTGCCATTACTTTGATTGGGCGATCCTGGGCCATATTGCCTAATACCAAACGAAGTCAGCCTAATGTTTAATGTTTCAAGAACTTGTCAAACCCAAGCCGAAAACCATTACATTTTGTAAGAGATTATTATGGCCAGGAAACTAGATAACTCCTTGATGGTTATGTTTATCTTAAGCTGTCAGTTGACGTAAGAAGAAAACTTAATCCCGCCATTTGCTCTTTAACCATCAACTTTATAATAGTATTTCCAATCTTTTTCTTCCTATATATTTTGTCACCCGAGGAGCCAAAAACCATTACATTTTGTCAGCATTATTTTCCCCACTAATCAAAATACATGGGATGGAGAAGAACCAAGAACAACGAGATACCTCAGCAGTGGTGCTATTTAAA